AGACCATTAAAGGTTATGGGAATATTGTCAATTATTGATTAACGTGTATTATTGGTACACGTTTTTAAAACTTATTTTCATCTAGTCAACTTCACATTCTCAGTTCTTAGTTATTTAAAGCCTATACTAAAACACTGATGAGGCCAAAAGATTTCAATGGTTAAGATCATGAGTCAGTTGAAGCTAGACCACCATGGAAAACATGGACGGCCGTTCCGTCGTATTGTGGAACTCCTCAGCAGTGCGTATCCCCTGGCTTAAGGATGTATATACTGGAGTTCTAGTGAGAAGTAGTGACTAGTGGAGTTCAACCAGGTCTGTTGTGAGATAGTAACTCACTGAAGACAATGATGGATGCGTCGCTGACTTTCGTGGATTGGTTGAAGTTAGAAATTAACATGGTTGGATGCCGGCCTGCTCAGTGGTCTAGTTGTTAAGTGCTTGCGTGCGAAACCAGTAGGTCCTAGGTTCGAATCTCGCACGAGGCGAGGTCGTGGATGCACACTGCTGCAGAGTCCCACAATTGGACGAAACGGCCATCCAGTGCTTCCAGGCTTTCCCTGTTGGTCTAGCTTCAACTGACTAATGATCTTCACCATTGAAATTACTATAATATCCACAAAACCTGTCTGATTTATAAAGAAAGGTTGTTGCTTTTCTTAAGAGTTATGATTAAAAGTCAGGTTTAAAAGACTTTCATCATTCCAGTATCATTTAGTGAAGGGTGAAAGTTTCTGGTCATGTGGACCCTGACAATACATGTATCTGACCAGCTTAAATGTAGGATTGACAGATTTGGTAGATTGTATATTCGCTCTTATAACCTTTATGGAATTCACTACTACTGATTCTAATCAATTAGTTGATAGTTCTTTGATATTTTCATACTTCTACAAAACAATCTGGATGTAACAGTTGACTGATATTTGGAGAGTACTTTCTGAAAAAATAGTTGGTTGTTATTCCGTTCTGTATTAGTTGTTTGGATCTTCCCATTGATGTTTATGACTATGATTGATCGGTCTCCTATTGACATCTCTGTCTACAATATGTGTTTGCAATGTGTTTCTTTTTTAATTTTTAACCCTGACACAACTTTCACTAATTAACTTGATAAACGGTAATCATGTGCACACTATCGATTATCTTTACTAGATGAATTTCTGAAGTTCTACTGTGATTTCTAGATTTCAACCATGCTGAGAATAAGGACGATAGATTTGATGGGATCAGACGAATTTCATGCCAGATTGTGTATTGACTAAAAATAAATGTAAAGATCATTGAAATATTGTTTGGATTCCAAAACTAGAATGTTAATTGAGACAAATAAAGTTTCTGAATTTCATCTTATGTACATTTATGAGTGTTTACTGATGAAGAGTTGAGAGTCAGATCAAAGCGATGAATTAATATTGTTTAGTTGCTGCAAACGATCCACTAATTAAATTCATTTTATGATGAAAATAGTCTTTCAGGTAAGCAAAGATGAATAGTGGCTGGCAGTGGAATCCAGGAAGCGCGTTTCTTTCTAAACATCGATGCGAACATTCAAGTGAACAATACCAAGTGATCAGAGAGGGATTTTGTGGATAATATAGCAAATTAATGGTTGAATTCATGAGTCATTTGGAGCTAGACTACCATGGAAAACCTGATAGAACCAGTATATATACTAAACGACAAGGATTCGAGTCCCTGAGCGAACATCAACTCTTGGATGCAGGTACATCCAGCTGACGAGTCTTAAATAGGACGACACGCGCATCAACCTGGATTTCGCTTCTAGTCATTATCCATCCTTGCTTAAAATGCTTGTGACTTAAGGCTATATCGAGGCAATCCACACAGGATGCACATATGCCAATAAGAGACTGATCAATTGTAGTCATAAATAAGAATGAGTAGATACAAGTAATCAATAAAATGAACGTAACTAAAGAAGAACAGTAAATCGTATGATAATAGTCTATAGATGAAAATGAATCTTATAATAAGAGGAATATGAATATACACAATCTAATTACTGAATAGTTAAACAATAAGAATATATGACTAACATTATTTCATTTAGATAATCTGTTTCAAATGCCGATTAACTTGCGAAATGCAACCAACCATTTATAAATACTTGTACCTTCTTGACGAAGTTCGACCACTATGAGCAGCCCAATGTCCTTATTGGAATGCGACCGCTTCGCCACCATTGTAAAAATATATTACTTAAATTTTCTTAAAATTAACAAATAGATTTGTAACATAAATCGATTGAATTTTCTCTTCTTTTTATTATTTTTAATTCCTAGTCAAATGAAGATATGAAAAGGACGTATAACAACTGGAAAGGGTTGGAGAGGGTTGACTAGGACATAGTTGAATGGAGAGTGTTGGTTGGCGTCCTATGCTCGCTCCTTCACGAGGAGTAACAGGGGTAAATAGTCAAATATTGGCATAAATCATTGAGGATCTTAAAATATAGTCATTTCAAATTATTGCTCCATACAGTTATTGTATGATAAAAGCATTTTGATTGATTATTAGTATTATTACTTTATTGAGTATCTTCAACTTCTGTGAATAAGCTAATATGTATGGATTATTAGATGTCAGTTTCAGTTTATACGTACATGATTATAGCAGAAGACAAAATACGAAGGTTGTTATATTCTAATGAAGATTAAACTATGGGTAACTTCTGTCAACTAATAATGGACTAATGCTATGCATATATACTTACTGTATAACTATTCAGTAATTAGATTGTGTATATTTATATTCCTCTTATTATAAGCTTCATTGTGATCTACAGACTATTATGATATGATTGACTGTTCTTATGTTATACTCAGTTTATTGATTACAGTCTCACCACAATCACTCCCACAGCCACATCTTGACTTCACATTTCATAAATGTTATTTCCTATTGGATAGTGTGATGCGGCGGTGTGTTTGGCTGGTATATAAACCAAGTATGTTTGAAATAAATGGTTTACATAATGGAAGCTTTTATTGATGTTCTGGACTGAAGTCGACGGGCTAGGAAACCAAAAGAACTGATAAGGATATTAGGCTGTTCTTAGTGGTCGAACGTTATTGCTTTGGTACAGTTTTAAACCTGTATAAGTTTTATTTCAATTTGCGGATAACTCACGTGAAAACTAGCTGGGTTTCAAAGTCACAACAAAGTGTTAACAATTTCATAGAATGTGTTGTTCATATAACAGTCGATCATAATGCAATCACTAAATGAATTTAAATTCAGGTCGAAGTAGAAAATGGTAGAATGCTATATCAGTAATTCATAAGGTTATTGAGTTCATTGAGATAATCTATTTCAGATGCCAATTTACTTTAGAAATGCAACCAACTATCAATCCATTGATGAATACATATTGGTCCCATAACACCATTCTGTTGACGTACTAACGAGTTTCTATGCAGATAACGTGGAATATGTTCTAAATGATTTGCTGCCGAAAACGTTTTGAGTTTCAGGCTGAAAATTAATCATAATCTCTTAAAAAGAAATCTCAGTTTATACATATTTTTATAATGGGAATGTGGGTTTGTGGAGATTGTAGTAATTGAATGGTTGAATTCATGAGTCGATTTAAGATAGGCCATCACAGAAAACTTGGAGAGACTGGACGGCCGTTTCGCTGTAGTATGGAACTCCTAGGCGGTGTGCATCCACGATCCCGTACTAGGGACTCCAACCCAGGAACCTCGATCTCGCTCTTGAACGCTTACCCTCTAGACCACTGAGCTGGAATCCAATAGTATTTATGTCTAACTTCGACCAGTCTGAGATATTGCGCGATCATCCACCATTATCTTCGAGTCGATAGTGCGATCAGTGGTCTGGAGTTTTGTTCTATGAGCTGGCCCGACCTTTGTTGTTACCTTGACCTGGTGGTCGGGTTTACCATAAAAATGCACACCTCGCCCTATTCCACGGATATCCGTCTCCGGCGATGAGGTCTCAACAAGTATGGAGCTAATACAAAAATTACCCATAGAAGATTGTTGCTCATTCTGGTGTACCTGCTTGGACTTTGACCATGCCCTAATATGGGCACGCATCTGCTTGCGCCTCACTGGATGCAAAAAAAGCCACACCATAAAGAACCATTAGAGTTGAATTGAGTAACGAGAAAACCAAAGTAGGTTCCAGGGACAACTGAGGTCACACTTAGGTAGTTCTGAAAACGAGGCTGATCCAGATGTTGCTTGGAAAGCTATACAAACAGCTGTGGAAACAGAAGTGACATCTATCAGTGATTTAAACCACAGGGTTACAAAGAACTAATGAATTTCTTCTGGGTCTATTGCACTGATGGATTCTCGTAAACTCATCTTATCAGGCTCTGAACACGATGGAGAGCAACAACAAATCAGATCTAGGTTAAGCAAAAGTCTAAGGAACGACCGTGAGAAGTGGTGGGCAATGAAAGCAAAAGAGATGGAAAAGGCAGCGACTATAGGGAACACAAGACAGCTCTATAGGCTAATAAAATAAAACTGGAATTAACAAGTCAAGTGTAAGTCAGACTATTTCGGAAAAAGACGACACCCTCATCTGCTCTCAGTCCAGACGTTCAGAACGATGGGTGGAACATTTCAGAGAAAAGTTCAGGTGGCCTTCAGATACTCTACAACTACCCTCCATTACAGTCAGTGTGAATGGAACATTGAAGTAGGTCCCCAACTCTAGCAGAAGTTCAAAAGGCTATAGTTAATCTGAAACGAGGAAGGTCAGCTGGTCCAGATGGATTGGCTCCAGAGGTCTTTAAGGATGGTGGTTCAATTTTATCGATTACGTTGACGAATATTTTAGCTAAGATCTGGGAGTTAGACGTTATTCCATCTGACTGGTCACAATCACTTATCGTCCCAATATATAAGAGAGAGTCAAAATCATCCTGTGACAACCATAGAGGGATTAGTTCCGATTTGATTAGGATCATTCTATCGATTATAATGATTTGGTGTATGATTATGTTAATGGATTTATCCAATGGTCATTTATTGATAAAAGAAGAAAAAATTTTACGGAAATTAGTCAATATGATTCATGCCACAACAACAAATGATTTCAATCTATGTACAATTCATTCACGTCAATTACAATATTCATTATATACTACTTATAATACTACTACTACTACTGCTACTACTACTCATTATAATGATATTCCATCAGCAGCAGGAGCAGGAACAGGAGCGTCGTCAGCATCATCAGCAGAAGGATCAGGATCATCAATAATGATTAATTTAAATGAAACATTTTATCCGATATTTCATCATTTAATCACACAAAACTCTTTAACACAAAATTTCTTGCATGATATATATAGATCTATACAGATTATGAGAAATTTCAATCGTTGGCATAGCAACAATCACTACCACGTCAAACACAACCCCAACAATCATGATACCAGGAAACAATTAGAAGTCTATTTATTTCATTTATTACAATTAAATCAACCAATGAATTTTATAATCTGAAATTATTCAATAATTTCATCACTATGAATGATGATTATGATGATCAAAAATCCAAGTTAATTGGTATTGGTTATTGTTGTTTCAATGGGATATTAATGGCTTATGTCAATAATTATACTACTAATAATAATAGTTGTATTAGTAGTAGTAGTAGTAGTAGTATTAGTAGTACTAATGATTCCTCTGATCGTAATTCTATATGTAGTCAATTTGTATTGAATGTAGAATTATTTGATAATAATAATGAGACTATACGGTTTAATGATTATGAATATGGAGAATTTTCATCCTTTTGGGCACCAATTCAATGTGAATCTAATTCAATCATACCAATAGTTTTACGATATTTTATTTATACAAAAGAAAAAAGGCAAGTTTTTCGTTTCCTTCTTTTTCTTTTAGGTGATTTTATCCGATTTGAGTTTTCAGCTAGTGGTAACAATCAATCTGTTTAAATGAATCTAATGTCTAGGGGTAAAGTGTGTTACGCTGGTTTCTACCAATGGAGCATAGGCTGCAGACCAGCATTCTCCAATCCATTCTGTTCTCGGTCTTCCTTTCTAGTTCCATTCAATTTTCGCTTATTTTTCTCATGTTTAACTCCATTTCTCGGCGTAATGTATTCTTTAGTCTTCCTCCTCTCCTCTTTTTGCTTTGAGGATTCCATGTGAGGGCTCGCCATGTGATACAGTTGGGTGCTTTCTCAATGTGTATCCTATCCACTTCCAGTGCCTATCCATGATTTCTTCCTCCGCTGGGATCTGGTTTATTCTCCTATAATAGGTTGTTGTTGATAGTGTCTGGCCAACGGATCTGAAGGATTTTGTATTGACCACGACCAAACTATCGAGCTCAGAGAACAAAACTCCATCAAAAACAATTACTCATCAACATATACATTGAACATTGATGTGGATATTGGATTGGACTAATTACTTGGTTTACGGTTGGAAATCTTTAAGTCTTGGCACAAAGCGATTACTATCCAAACGCATCTCGGAACATTATCCGGCCTGGCTCTTGAAAGGGGAACGAAAAACAATCACCAGTTCGATACAGGAGCACTTAATCAACCGTGGACATATCGCTCCAAAAGACTCTTCGTTTAAGATAGTTTACAGAGTCAAAGGAACTGGGTCGAAGGGTGTTCGAATCAATATTTTATGCACCGCATAAGTTGGTAGATGTTCACACTTGGTACATAAAGGGCCAGATAAAATCAATTCGCAGTTCTATCTTGGCACATCTCATTGATAGCGGTCATGCTGTAGATAAATCGGGAACATTTCGAGTGATCTATCGTATACCTCCATCATTTCCCAACGGAGTTTGTTCCCGCCTCCTACATATAGCTGAAGCCATAGGAATTTGTACATATAACCTCAATTTATGTGTACAGAAGAAATTCGTAACCCCCCTATTCCTTCCATGGCCAGTTATAACTTAACAAACGACTTTTATTCTATTTGTGTTATAATTAGGCTTATTTTCACATCTAGTATTTGTTTGTAATTTTCCGCCTCTTTCCGTTTGTATTCTTCACTATCTAATTATTTACACACTTCTCATTACGTAATGATTCTAGTGTTTTAGTGTTGACTAGTCCACGTTTGTTTGTTTGACCTTCTATTGCCAACGTTTAACTATTGATAAGAGTTTTGTGATCATATTTTATTATCTTTACTACGATCAGTTCACCTGTCTTCCCTATTACTATCAACCTGTACTATTACCTATTTTATGTGTAGAGACTTATTCTATTTCATTGTGATGATTGACCCATATTGCCTTGATTGGTTTAAAAATTTCGTATAAATATTCATGTATATTAGAGTAAAGGCCTGATGACGATCTTTATTGAAAACAATATTGTTCGCTTATATGTGTTGTTCTAATTTTCCCGATGGGAATCTTTAATATTATCTGACCCATAAATTTGGTTCTTCCTTACCGCTTGATTAGTACGTTAACCTCATTTGTTATTTATTGTCGAATCCATTTTTCTTTTGTGTGTGTGATACAATCCTTTCTATCCTTCTATAGATATACATTTTCCATATCTAACTATATATACGAATGTACAGCTTGAGTAAATGATTTCGTCGAAAAGAAAAAAATTTCCTTCGCTAAATTCTCTTTTTCTTATTCAATTGATTTATTCATGTCATTATGAATTAAACACTAAAATGAGTACACTGACACATACACATGTATCGAGGCAGAGTTTTTTTGTTGTTGCACAAATCAACTCCTAATTTACTGACGGGAACGTAACAGTCAGTCATTTGAGTATAGGATATGTCTCCGTGAATTCTAAACACACTTACTTTTCAGCGTTCATTTTGTGTATGGCATCAATCATGTTTTTTTTCATTCATTTTATAGGTGGGTGATACATGTAAAAGTATAGCTTTCATTGAGGATTTCATTTTAAGCTGTAACATTCCCTTTATTGGCTTGTAGCGGTAAATAAATCCCCAAAATAAATAGCTCTGTAAGTTTTCCACATTGGATGCTGACCATATGTTTTAGTGGACTCATCTAGCTGAAGGCGCTCGGTCATGCGTCCGCATTAGATCACGTGTGGAAACGCCGTGCTCAACATCTACCGCAATCGCTATCCAGATTAGATCAGAGAATTCCGATATATTGGTTTTCGCCAAATACACTCTTCCGATCTCCTAGACTCTGTCTTTTCATTTCTCTTGGTGGATACGAATCATATTAGAAGGTGTTGCTGGCAAAAGCGATGTCAAACACTGAATACCTGTGCCATCGTCAGGCTTTTTCATCCGAAAGTTGGGATGTGTTACAATGGGATGTTCATAGAAGACTTAGATAGCAATTAGATTATTGGAATGAAATTCTGAATAGAAATCATACTCTTATATACAACTCTCAGCTACTAAATCAATGGTAAAATGCTCGATAATGTTGGGTATTTCACTTTCATTAAATCTCATAAATCAGTTGTAATAAATAAATTTTTCATTTAATTTCATAATCATTATCCTTGTTAGTGAAAAAAGAAAAAAAGATTTTGAAAATTGTCATCTAATGAAACGACAATGGAAACAATTAAAAGAAATTGATTAAGGAATTAGCTTATTGATTATGTCACAAAATTGTAGTTACTAAGTCATCTTGTATATTTACAGTGTCGAACAGAATGATCAAATGACTGACAGACAAATAAACATCATTTTATATGTAAACAATTTTGACGACAACAACAACAACAACAAAACAAAACACTCTTATGATTCATTTCATTGAACTGAACGACAAGGAAAACAATTTACATTTAAGATACAACCAATGTGATTAGAGAGAATTCCCTCTTTGCATTTGTTACATGATGACTACAGATCAAGGGGAAAGTTGAAAAAATTCATAGACCTGATATGCACTTCATTTAGATCGGTTACGATAGGCATATAGTAACAATAGTCATAACACAGGCATTGTAGAACAAAATTGACTCAGTATTCCGTACTTAAGAAGATGTAGTTAAATTAATAATCAACAATTTATAGCTACCGATCGATAGTGGTAAACTTTTTCTAGCACTAGATTCTCACCCATACTGATACATAGTTTAAACAATCCTATTATACAATTTATTTTGTCATTCGTCTAATTAACACGAAGCAAGTCTTAATTTCAATGTATGAGAATACTAGGATTTTTGATAAATATTAGCTCATTACAGTCGTAAACTAACTGTTGTCCCTTGATACTTGGGCGGTTCAATCAAGAATAGGTTACTGGTAACTCACTACATACTTGAATATAAACTACACACAAAGTATGGACGCTAATAATATAATTATTATGATCAGAATGGGGGATTTGTGGAGATTGTAGTAGTTTTAATAGTTGAATTCATGAGTCGATTTAACCTAGACCACCACTAACAACCTGGAAGCACTGGAGTCTAATCCGTGTCGGATAGAGACAGGTATCTACCTCAGACAATGGATGAATAGTTGCGTAAGAGTATGGATCGATTGAAGTTAAACATTAACACCGTTGGATACCGACCAGCTTAGTGATCTAGTGGTTAGGCGCTTGCGCGTGAGCCCGAAAGTTCTGGATTGGAATCTCGTATGCTACGATGAAACGTTCGTTCAGTGCTTCCACGTTTTCAATGGTGATTTACCTTACATCGACTCATGGATTCAACTATTAAAATTTGATTATTATCAATACATTGAATGAAACTAATTATTTTGTTTGCATTTAATGAGAAAAAGACAGTTTCGTTCATTTGAGATCTGACAAGATTAAAAAATATCTTTCCATTATATTTCATTTATGATTACGTGTAATGTTCTTCTGTGGTACTACCATTGAATATATATGTGTACATTAGAGGTCGATAATTGATTTCTTACAATGGATATAAATGAAAAAACAATCATGAAATAAGTTAGAGAAATTAAAACAGTCGATTGATCACTGAGCAGTGAGCAATTTCATGTCTGTAATGTCCTTCTCAGTGCTGATTGAATTCTATCGATCAAGTTAAAATGTGATAAGTAGTCTAAGTGACCTGATATCTCATGTACTATGTTAACATTTTAAGCGGTTGGAGCTAGTCGATAGGAAACTCTGCTGTTTGGCACTTTATGCTATGTCATATATATTCATTTTTGAGATCATTACTATTTAAATGACTTTTACAAAAACTAACAATACAATTCCCGGCTGACCGTTTTATCTCTCTTCAGTCACAATATTTTCCTACTTTAGCCCCTAAATGCCCTGGTATGGTCGAGAGTGGGGAGAGTCAACTCTCTCTCTCGAAGTGGCCACGCGTATACAGTCACTGACAGGGAAGTCCTACTCACTGCCTTCTCACACCAGGGATGTTGTTTACGAAATTGAGAGGACGAAAAGCAAATTTACGGGACTTTGCCGGGTTAGTGGATATGGAGGATCTACCTAGGGGAGTTTGAAAATCCTGATTCCAAACCAAAGGTGCACATGGCTCCAGTATCCTGAAGGAACAAATGGAGTATGAACCTATTGTTAGTCATCGGCTACCATGGGATTGCATCTCTCGACATTGCTCCACTGCCTTTTTGATTAGACTTTTAGGTCGAAGGCTTCGGGTGTGGCCCCATAGGAAAATCACCTACTTCGGTCTGAGCACCCGCGTACTATCCCAGCCCCACATAAATCGAATGATTTATGTGGCGCATATGTATTTGGTGCCTCCTTATACCAATGTTTATGTGTTTATATAAATAAAATAAATAACTTCAATATGAAGGAGTTTTAACTAATGGACTATCTTGGATCGACCGTATTTGTACTAATGATACTGTTGTGGATTACGTGAAGCTACTAAACAGACCATTGACAGTAAATGGTAATCCTTTGAAAATTTATGAATCAGTGGAAAGGTCACAGTGTATTGAGATATATTAGATTTCTGTCACCGAAATCA